AACATTCAAAATATACTCCTTGTCCGTCGGTGCAGCGCGATTACCAAGCATTGAATCTGGCATTGATGGCATTCTCCGGAATAGCCTTGAGAGCCGAGGTGCATGCTGTTTGGATCGTCTCTGTCGTCTCAAATGCTTGACTCTCATCGGCCTTTTCACGCAGATAAATAAAAAAGGGGGTCACTTCTGGGCTGTAGGGTGGCTGAGCAATCGTTGCGATACCGGCCTTGGTTACTTACATTGCTGTTCATAAGAAAGGCGGTTAGCTGTGGCGTAATCGTGGTGCAACTTCCAATCGACTGCTACGTCTTGTCGGACCCGATTGACCCTTCGTTTGAGTCTCTTGAGTACTTCCACGCAAAACTTGGCGTTAACGGTTCGCCCAAGAGGAAAAAATTCATGGTGGACGATGCCTTTAATGTCAAAAAAGACAATGAGCATAGTTTTCTCATTGGATTTGCTCATTCATCAGCGACCTCTTCCCGGCCCTCCAAAACGGCCTGGTGCCACCGAAACACGCCACATCTTGCTAAAGCAACATCTGGGGTTGTCTGTGAAAGTTGCTCGATCTAAGTAACTGTTCCAGCAGTTTGATTTGCCGCAATTGGAATGAAGTGTTCACATATAGTTGTTTGCTACTTATGCATAATTAGCTGCATTACCATTACTATTACAAGAATGGAGCACTCAGTAGCATCTTGTGCTGCTATTAGTGAAACTTCTCAGCGTGACCATTTGCATTGGCGCCTCTGTTCTTCGCAAAAGTTGCAAAATAATTTTACTTACATATTTCGCCCTCATTTTTTGCCGTTAATTCTATATATGTACAACGTCCACGGTCAAAGTTCAATTAAAATTAATTTTTGTACGCTTTTCTTTTTCCTTTTTTTGTTTTTGCCTCGGCATACTGTTGTTGTCTGTCAGTGGCGCTGCTATTGGCTCGTAACTCAATTATGCCCCAAATTTGCTGTAAACATGCACATATATACACTCATTTATATGTGTGTATGGCGCTCACGGTGACCTTCATTAAAAGTTTCTTTGTAGCAATAAGGCTAATTTTTATTAAAGCATGTATGCAGAAATGAAGGATAAAGTTGTATTTACTTTCGCTCTCACTTTCAATTAAAATGTTGTCGTGGAAATTTCTGCCAACACTTATTCATACATAGAAGTATGTATGTACGTGTACATACATGGGTAAACTCTCAAATTATGAAAATGTCAAAAAATATTATTAGGTGCATATAATAATTGGCAGGTTCTGCAAAGAAGTCTCGATAAGCGGATCTGTTTGAAAAACTTTGAAACAAAATATATTAGAGTTTGTATGGACACATCAGTTAGCTTTGGTGATTGATTACAGCTTTAAGCAATTTGGTGTAAAATTTTGCGGTACTTACTCTTGTTGCTTTTCAACTCGCTTGTGCGAATGAGTACAACACGTCGGGACGCAGTTTTAAATTTCGGTGGGAAGTGAACCTAAGCTTTAAAGCATAAAAGAGTATAAAAATTGATTTTAATCGGTAAGTCATATAGCGTCTTTTAGTCATTTTCATTTTATTTATTTGCATAAGCCTGCTAAATTGCAATAACACTGATTTTCTTCATTTTTAACCTTCCTGTTTTCTACTGCATAGCCTTACTTATAAATATTTATTTGTGCGAAAAATACCTCGAGTATTTGTTTTTACTTCGTTTTCTAGTTTCTTTTTGAAAGCTTCAATGCAACGTAAACATCACAAAAGTAACTTCCTACCAAAAGCCTTTACTACGCACATAGATATAACGGTAAATAAATGCTTTCGCTTACACACACACCAACAGTTAGCAGGAGAGGTATTTTAAGGCTTCCAAAGTCAAAGCCAAATTGTCACTTTAGTACTAAATTTAACATAACATTTACTCACACACACACTCACCTACATAAATAAAAGCAAATGCCAACACACATACATACCCATGAATGCAAGGACATGTGTTGCTATTAGTAAACCTAAATTCTTTGCAATTTTTCATGCAATTTTGTGTAAAAACATTTGCTTCCTAACCAAAGGTACACAAATATGGTATATACACACACACCGGGCATATATATTTGCATAAGTGCATATGTACTCCAGCTGTTTGTTGCATTGCCTCCTTCACATGTTTCAACTTTGTGTGCTGCGCATGTGTTTGAGGCACAGGTGGTTTCATTTCGTCGACTTCGAATTTTATGGTTCGATGTTTTGAATTTACGGTCGGAAAAATATTGCATACGAGAAAGGCAAATTGGTTGCTATTGTAGAAAAGTTGATATTTTAATACTTGAAAATATTCACCCCTCAAGTTTGTTCGCAGCTCCCTCCATTAACGAAAATGAAAATGAGTTGCAGGTGCTTTGTGCAGAGCAAGACATGTGGGTGCCGGCGTTCGAAGGCAGGTTGCCGAATGATTAAGCCAAAGAGTGTTAATTTTTTTAATCAGAGAATTGTTTTATTTTTTAATGCTTTTAAGTTTAAGTAAAATAGGGCGTATTTGTGAGCATGCTTTCACTTTTTTTGTACTGATATGATTTATGACGATGATTTATGATATAAAATTTGTGATTTATGATTTATGATTTAAGATTTGAGATTTGAGATGTGAGATTTGAGATGTGAGATTTGAGATTTAACATTTAACAGTTAAGATTTAAGATTTGAGATTTATATTTTTTTATTTTATTTTTATTTTTTTGGTTTTTTAATACATTTTATTTGCAATCTATTTTAGTAAATAATGAGCAAATTTGATAACAAATTTATGATTTATGATTTCAGATTTAAAATTTAAAACTTAAAATTTAAGATTTATGATTTATGATATGATTAATGGCTTCCGATTTCCGGATCTTTAATATTAATTATAATACATGGATAAAGATTAAACGGTATGACAGCTGATTAGGCAGAAAAAAAAATTTAATTAATTTATAATTATTGCCATGGAAATTTTATTGGAAATAATGAAGTATGATTTATTTTGATTTATTATTAATTGCCAAGATTGATTGGCGCTTAATGTTTGACCACATATGACTGAGTTCCAGTGATTGTTCAGCATACAGCATTGAAGCACGCTCTTTGACGACAACTTAACGAATTTAATTTAATTGCGCTGCGTGAAAGCAGTTATAAATTACTGTAAAATGACTATCAATCAGCAACAAAATGATAATTTATCGCTTTATTTAGTTTGTAATTAATTATGCGGCAATGAGGATTAATAGTCGTGACTTATTGACATACATCGATTTGCAGCAGACAGTCTGGTGTTTATTTAATAGTTAACATTAACTTTTAAACAAAATGAAAGAAGTGTTCGCATAATTTTCCATTTATTTTCCGTTTTTCGGTCTGCACTTTTTCTTAACTGTTTTCAAATTCACCTTTTTTTGGCGCTTTTCAGCGAAGGTCATATAATTTATGTTAATGCATCAGTGAATAGCTCGTAATTAGTGTTGTTTTCATCTGATCCATTTTCATTTTTGCATGGTCATCAATTCACATTCAATATGTCATTGCAAGGGTCTGGCATGCCCGTGTTTTGCTTGGTCTGCAGAGACTAATTCTTGGAAAATTGGGATTCAAAAAGAGCGTTATCCGATATGGTAATCAATTACAGTTAACCATTTGTCTCTTGTGTACCACCCATAAAAAGCATAGTATTTCCTTGCTCGTGTGAGTATGTGTGTATGAGTTTTTTAGCTTGATTGCATATTTTGGGTATGTGTAGGCGTGTGTTAATACATCTTTTCTTCACAAATATGAAAGTACCCAATTTTTGTGGCGTTTTTTATGGCTAGATATACCACAAAACATTAAGAAACTGAATAGTTTTAAATGCTTTTGTTTTAGTTTTATACTTAAGGCCAACTTATGATTTCGCAAAAGCATTTTTCGTTTCAAACAAAAGTATTTAGACTCCTACTCTTCAAGTTAATGTTATATTTTTCAGTAATGATATCAGATCAGAGGTGCATTTACGCTCTTATATGCTATCAGAGATTTAAGATCTTGGCGATTTTCTGCTTCAAGTTTCACCCAACAATGTTCAACAATTCCAAACTAGGAATCTCCTGATATATTTCTAACTTCCTCTTGAAACTCTTAAATAAAAACCCATTAAGCAGGCTTCTAGAAATCATTAATATTTGGGGGCTTCAGACCACTATCGCTGTCAAGTTCTTATAAGGAACCCTTCGTATTTGTGAAAGGTATTATAGCTTCGGTGAAACCGATGTTGATTTTTTTATTGATAGATTATTTACCAAATTACCAAATTTCGCTGAAATTCTCTCACTTATTCTCTAATTTAGACCAATTGATGTTTAGGCAGTTTATCGAAAAGGGATAAAATGACCGATACAGGTTCGGGTAAAGGTTTGGAATTTTTCAGAAAAAGGCTTGCTCCAAAAAGGTTGAAAAACTGTCTTAAAATTACTAACTAAACTGATCTGTTGAAGGCGTTTTTCTTCCAGAGCACGGCGTTTGAAGGTATAAGTAATGCATTTTATTTAGCATCCGAAACCGTTGCTTTCTTATCCACATCATTGTGAAAATATTTCAGAAAAAGACGTGGCCGTTGAAGAATTCAAGTGTTGTTGGAAAGTCTTTAAAATCAGTTTTCGTATAGATTCTTTAAAGTGCTATTTTTATATGCTAATAACTTTTTGCTAACACGAGTACCCGAGACAATCACTGAAATGAACGTGGCTTGATTCGAAAAAATTGTGCAGTCATTTTCGGTTCACTGGGTTATCGTATTTATTTATACCCATATATAATGTTAAATGGGTGAATATATGAGAACATACATATTTCGTTTTACGCATACATACATACACCTCAATTGATGGCTTCTGCCTAAGCAACTTCGTAATTGCTTCCATGCCTTTTTTTTGCACACTCAATCACTCACGCACCAACACATGTTCTCACAGTTTTTCTCATCTACTGTGTCTATTTGCATTTCAGATTCGCAAGAGATCGATAATACGGATTACGTCATGTCGGAACATATTGCTTCGCTGACGCATACGACAGACGACGACGACGCAACGAGCGTGAGCGTGAGTGCCGCACCAAGACTCACAGCATACGCAAATAATAATAAAAATCATAGTAATAACAGTAACAACAGCAACAATAGCAACAGCCGTAGCAGCAACACGAGTATCAACGGCAACAATAGCAGTAGTAGCAATAATCAAACGCGGGACGATTTGAGGTCCTTATCGTTATTAAGCGTGAGCGACCATAATATGGAAATATCGGCCATGGCTCAGGAAATCGCGGTGGATGCGCCCTTGACATCTTCCAGCTCAGCCTCGATAGCAACGGCTGCATCACCAGCATCGGCCTCATTGTCATCAGCATCTTTGTTATCCGAGTCCGCGTCACTTACGGCGTCTGATCGAACAGCCAGCCATGCAAATGTTGCCGATGAGAGCGCAAATACCATTACCAATAACAACAATAACATGCAACATCTTGGCACTCAGCGCATTGCATTGACAACGACGGCGAAAACAAGAACAACGCTGGCCACCGAGCACCAACACAATACTGCCAAGTCACAGGCGATTATAACAGCCGCCACCGGTGGCACGGCCGGGCGTCAGCGCGGCTCAGCGAAAAAGGTGGAGAGCAAATACATTCTACCCAAACCGCAGAAGACCGATGCGCCAATGCTCAACTACATTTTCGATACATTTTCGACGGCGAACAAACATCATCATCACGATCAGCGGTAAGTGCCTAAGTGTAAATAAGCGCCTGAAAATATGCTTGTGTACGAGTCATTGGCAAAGCAATCGCATCTGCATTTGCCCGGATGGGCAAGGGCAGCGTGGTGTGTGGTGGCGTAGCGGTAATGTGTGTGCGGTGCACTTAGCGCAGCAGTTTGTGTTGCACAAAAGTGGTTACTCATGTGGTTGACTGCCACAGCTGCGCTGCGCCATTCCCGCCAGCTCTACGCGAATGCCGCTTGGCACAGACGCTAGCGCTCGCGCCGCCACTGGCATGCTGGCTGCGCGCCATAGGCGCTGCCTCAAGGTGCAATGCAGCAGCTGCCAGGCAGTTGTAATTCAAACTTTGCACATTTGTAAGCCACCATTGGCTTGCATGTGCGTGTGTGTGTGTGCAAATGTATTATGTTACAAGTGTATGCACATACATTCAAGAGCACTCTTGCTTAACTGCATTCGCAGGAGTACTCACTCAAACACACATACTACCACGCATCACATTCATGCTTACAAATACAGGCAAATGCATATATTCATTCACATTGAAATGTTTCCTGCAAATGGAAATCTGTTTGTATATTTCGATTTGTGTCACGGCTAAATGATGCAGACTAGCACACACTCTCACGCCGGCACTCAAGTTTTGAATGAATGAGTGCGTGTAAATCCAAGAGTCCTGTAGGAAATATGCATCCAAATCGATTCAGAATTTTCGATTTTTATTTATATTTATATAATTAATTTTGTATATTTGGCAGTCGAAGAAGTCTTTTCGTATTTATAACCATACTTCAATTTATTTTGTATACTTATAATTAACATTAATGAACCAAATATGTACCATTTTTGTCAACCAGGTTTTGCTATTTTTCCACTAGAGACATTATTCCACTGCGACAAATAATTTTGACAGGCTTCTCTTGAATTCAACTTTACTTAAAATGTCGAATCAATCGTTCGACTAGGCTGGATCAGCTCATAAATAGATAATTCCTTTCCAATCCCACCAAACACTCAGCATAAGCTTTCGAGGCTTTGCGACCATTAATTGAGCTTTAATACGCTTGGACCATGACCTTTTTCACACAATATGGTCGCAACTGATCCACTTTTCGTCTTCTGTTACCATTCACTTCAGAAATTGTTCGATTTAATTTCGTTTCAGTAAAAAGTCGCAGGTGTTAATTCGGTCCATAAAAATTTTCACAGACAATTTATGTTGTACCAACACATCTTTCACATCGAAATTTCGAGGACGAAAGCCAGCGAACCATTGTTGTGCTACACGAACTGGTACAGCATCGTTTTCGTAAACTTCAGAAATTTCATTTGTGACTTGCGTGGCATTCTTCCCTTTTCACACAACAATTTCAAAATATAGCGAATTTCTGAATTATTATCACTCACTTTTGAACAGCTGTATCGTTTTTTCAACTTCCCTCAATTTAATTTTTTTTTTGGTTAAATGAAGCATAAAATCATACTTTTCCAACACATGTGATTAGTAGCGCTGGAGATATACGACTGCTATGAAATCTATTAACAAAATGCGAAACGGGTTTTTCGACTAACCTATATATAAGTTACTGATAAAATCTTTATAAGCAAGACTTTTACTGTTAGCTGCATAAACCATAAATTGAGAAAATTTCAAGAATATTCATCTTCTAATTGCCAAACCGTAATTCCGCGTACTAGTGAAATCAGTCGAAGAAAATTTTCAAATATTGGCAACCCTTGTGATTAGTTATTATATTAATACTTAAATTTTATACAAAACTCCACCGGAAACATCCAGCCGTATATATATATACATATACATATATATGTATATAGTTATATGTATTTATAAATTTTTTTTATCTCTCAGAATCGTAGTTTAAATCAGAAGTACAAGAACAAAAGCATTGGCGCTTTGTCTTCAGTCTAAAAGAAAATTGATCCCTTACCTCTTTAGACTTTTGATATTCATGTATTGTGCTCTCCCAATTCATGAGCTTGTGGGCTTTGCCATGTCCTCCGATAACACTGTGTCCTTGAGCGTTTTGCAGTGCTTCAAAGCCTCTGTTAAGATGGTATTTCCAGTTGACATCTTACCATTACCATTTCCATCGATTGTTAGTTTGCGCGCTCGCACTTGTGCATATGTTTTTATATACATATGTAACTGTGTATTTCTTCGTGCACTTAAGCAAATCCGATGTGGTACAGCGCGCGACCGAAAAGACCGGCAACGATTTGAGCTCGTCAGGTGTGTTGTGGAGTATCTGCATATTGTGCGCGCCAACCAACTATTATGTATGTTTGTAAGTGCATGCATGTATGCGTGTATGTGTATGCGCATTGCAATGCGGTTTGTAATTGAAAATAAATATACAAAAGAAAAGTTGCAAAAGCATCATTTGAGTTTCTTGTTAAATCCAGTCAAGTGAAAATAAAAAAGTTTTTATTTTATGGAAATCCATGCGTTTGCATGTTTGTATTTGTATGTATTGAATTTATGCTATAGTATTTTTTGGAAATATGCAAATAACATAAGCTTTAGTATTGACAAGGGAAAAATGCATAAAAATGTCTTTGTGTGTTCCTCTATTTGTTTTATTTTAGCTAATAAGATTAAGGTGGAGTTCTGCGAAGACAACTTTGCGTGAAACTGCTTGAAATACACTCCGGCATTTATGTAGTTATGATACGCCGTAAACTTATTATTCTAAGAACGGTTTTTTTACAAACGGTATCACAACGTAATAACGAATTTCCTTGTGAGAACGCAATTGTTTTGCATAAAAACTCCTAACTCTCTCTTAGTTTTTGATGACATACTCCAAACGTCTAAATGGTTCGCTTAAAAACGGTGGTCTCTCTCCGCATATCTCTCTCTGAGATATGACTTTCTTAAAAAAAGAATCCAGTTCTTAATGGCCCAATAATGACAATAAGATGATTTAGACGAAATTTCTTCTTTTATAAGTCATGTATTCTGATAACTCACGCTCTTTCTACAGATATCGAGATGATCGCTTGCACTCCGGTTACATTTTTATCTATGTTAGTTCGAAGTATAATATATCTGACTATTTGTTCCGTTCCAAAATCGATTTCACTTATATTCCTTCTGAAGAATATTACAGTGTGTGTATATCTGCCTGCGTCTTTTTTTTGCATTTTTTTCACTACCTCAATATTAAGATTCATCTATTCTTGTATGTTTTCCACATAAAAATTGTTAAAATTGTTGAAGAAACTTTATTTTACAAAAAGCAACGATATAAAATTTTGAAAAAATTATTTTCCCCGGCAAGTCAAAAATGGATTTGACATTGCTTTAATAAAACTTATATGATTTTTCAACTCTCTTTATTCAACGTTAAACGTTTGCATGGCACACCTCATTACAAAGGAGCCAACAAGCCAAAAGGCTAACCAGACAACAAAGCAAATATGACAGCAACGAAATAAAAAAAAAAAATAAATAAAAAAAGACGGTAGTGCCTGGAACATAGCTAAATAGTGTATTATTTGCAACCCCCTACAAGAAAATTTTTTTTGAAAGTGGTTGGCACCCGCTCATAAATATTTGATTATATTTAAATTTGAAAGTTCCGAACAATTTTATTAACTAATATTTGTACGCTCATCGATTGATAATGCTGATCAAAGAATGTTCGATATTTATGTCGAAAATAAAGACAAGGAACGTAAATACCAGGTTTAATCAGTTAACACAGAGGTGCTCATAGTCTATAGACTTTTCTTGAAAAAAAATGACACATAGAAGAGCCGATATTTCTAGCATTGAGGAGGTAGAAAAAGCAGGAAGAGGCTGGACCAAGGCTGGAAGAGACCAAAAAGTGCTTATTGGAAGTGCTCAACGATCGAACGGATGGCGGATTCAGAGGGGGTAAATTTTATTTGATAGATTTTGTATTCAGCTCCATCTGTGATATATTCGCTTGATACATTCTCCGCGATTTATGCTCCAAGTTTTCCAACATAAAAAATGATTGGAAAAATAAGGAAATAACGGGAAAAGTAATGATACTCATCAAAAACCAAGAAGCTGCGACCGGCAAACAAAACGCGAAAATTTCTGTATGAAAACTTGCGAAGAATACTACAGGCTCTCAGTGTAAATTGCTCCGTTGGGTGCAATCGGCGAAAATTGAAGACGTGCTTTTCTAGACAAGTATTGGATGAATTTCAACTGAGTTTGCTGCTTCCAGAAGAAGTGCGTGCTTCTGAAAACCAAAGAAATGAAGAAAGAAAATCTTATTGACTGCTTGATAGATAGATTTGGATAATGACAATGCGGTGAACTTGATCACTGGCAGTGCCATTGAGGGCAGAAGTAAAAGTCAAAAGACAGCGAGTTATCCACCTGAACCAATTGGAACCAAAAATTAAGTGCAAAATGCATTTATGCTTTGGGGCGCTGATCAACGCATTGTATTGATCAATGCGCTTCTAGCAATAGAAAGCATCGTGGAGTTTAGTCTTCATAGACAGGTATTCACATAAAAACACATTGACACGTTGTACCTAGACGTATATCTACTACTAGACCTATATCCCATACTTCATAGTTTTATTCGCATATTCTGCACAATTCCTGTCACGAATGCGATCTCTGAATGCTCTTTTTCTCTCTTCGCCGTATCAAAAGGAGGCTGAGATGCTTCAAGATAAGTTGATCGGGCTGGCGTTGTTGCACACTCATCATGGCATTGAAGTCACTGCTGAAAAACTTCTCGAAAGATTTAAAAATTTTCTAATAAAGTATGCCACCCACACGTCTAGGATTTGTAATGTGTTTTTTTTTTCAATTCAGTTTTGATATTTGAAGGGCGATTTGAAAATATTCTACCATGATATTAAATTGTATAAAGAATACCATATATAGTAATAATCTTCATATTTCTATTACAATGACTGGTCCGAAAATAACTAGTTACTAATTGACTCCAAATCAACTATATAATAATTGCACTTTTGTAGTTACTTC